AAGGCAAAACCGGAGAACCCGGAGAAAAATCCACGTGACCACGGGGAGAACGTGCAAATATACAACAGGCGTCAGGCTCGGGATCTAACCCACGACTTCCTGCACACCAGGCGAGGTAGTCGACAACTCCTAGCCAATAACGGACTCTACGTGGGCCAAAACTTTTCCGCAACTGGGCCACGTCCGAGACGCCTGGGACGCAGACGGCCGAGGAGCGAGCGCTTGATTGATGTGAGAATAAAACAACGAACAAGCGAGGCTCTCGGTGGAAGGATGGGGAGGAGGAGGAAGGGGGGGGGGGCGGTCACTATTCACGCTCTAAAAACGTGCCGACTCCAAGCGGAATTCGACCGCTTGTGCCTTTGCCACCCACTTGACGTGGGGGAATTCATCGGAAAGCTGGCCGGACAACCATAACAAAAAACATGAATCAAATCTGGCCGTCTGTGCGCAAACACTGCGACCCCTTCCCTAGCCCCCCAATCTCCCTCCTCCACTCACCCACTCACCCACCCACAAATTCACTCACTGACTCACCCACACACTCACCCACCCTCTCATTCACTCACCCACCCAATCATCCACCCACCCACTAATTCACTCACTCAGCCACTCACCCACCCACCCACCACCATCACCACCATCACCACCACCCACCACCACCACGTGCTCCACAACCTGCCGCAATGACCATCTCGTGACGACCTCGCCCTGCTGCCCCGTTCACCGTAAAATGCCGAGAAATTTGCCATAATTAGCTCCACACCCTTCTTTTTATTCTTCAACCGGCAACCCCCCCAACCCGCACCTTGTTGCTCGCTTCCCCGTTCGTCGCCCTTCTTGTCGCCTCCGAACTTTACCGAAGTGAAAACTAAAACGAAGTGTAAACTAAGTAAATAAGCGTCACGGCTACAGTCAGTGGGCACTTATTTCAGCGTGCTGGTTGCGCGTAACCCGCGTGCCTGCGCTGCATTTGCAATTAACTAAAGCGATGCGTCACGGAGAGGCGTTGTTTTCATTGTTATTTTACTCTTGATTCGACGAGATGAAAATTGGAAAAAATTGGCGGTCCACAGAGCCGTGGCTGCTGGGCTGTCATCGCGGTTGGCAACGTACGGCGCGAAAGAAGTTCAACTTACGTACATACGTAGACTCACGCAAAGACCCATAGACTCACGCAGAGACGAATAGACTCACACAGAGACCCAAAGACTCACGCAGAGACCCATAGACTAACACAGAGATCCATAGACTTACGCAAAGACCCAAAGACTCACACAGAGACCCAAAGACTCACGCAGAGACCCATAGACTCACACAGAGACCCATAGACTCACACAGAGACCCATAGACTCACACAGAGACCCACAGACTCACAGAGAGACCCATAGATTCACACAGAGACCCATAGTTTGTTGTCCTTCCCCTGCACCTACGATTAGCCCGGGATTTGTCACGTTAATGAAACATTCTGGCAAATTGCCCGATTATGCTGGATGTAAATACCAGGGAATCGTCGTACAACTCAAAAATTGTAAATGTTGTGGATTCACTCTTCAACACACCGGTGGGCTAAAGTAGTGAACTATTTGTTTCTTGTCAACGTGACACATTTTTTTACTGATTGGCCGTGTCGGGCGGTGGAGGGTTACGACACATTTATAAATAACGCGATCTAACTCAAAAACTTTCACTATGAACAATATTGGCCGCGAAAGCCTACGTGTTAATCTGATGATGATGATGTTGTTGTTACAAATGGAAAATTAAAAACTCTCTGGCAGTGCGCGGCGACTGTGATCGCGACCCAAAAGAGACACGTGGGAGCGTGGAAATGTGGACTCAAAGCCAGACTCACAAACACGCAGGAAGATGAGGGAACAGGAGGGAGGAGGAGGGAGGAGGGAGGAGGATGAGGAGGCATCATCACAGCAGCGATGATTCACCACTCCGCTCCCCCTGAGTTTGCAATCAAGAGGATCATCAACCACTTCGATGTCAAATCACAGCTGTTGCCCTACACCAGTGGTGCTTCTTAACCTTGGGGTGCGAGATGCCCTTTCTGAGAACCAAATGGGTGCAGGCTCCAGTAAAGATTAAGAACCACTGCCATAGACTCAACACTGCCCATAGACTAACACTGCCCATAGACTCAGCACTACCCATAGACTCAACACTGCCCATAGACTAACACTGCCCATAGACTAACACTACCCATAGACTAACACTGCCCATAGACTAACACTGCCCATAGACTAACACTACTCATAGACTAACATTGCCCATAGACAAATACTGCCCATAGACTAACACTGCCCATAGACTAACACAGCCCAGAGACTAACACTGCCCATAGACTCAACACTGCCCATAGACTAACACTGCCCATATACTAACACAGTCCATAGATTAACATTGCCCATAGACTAACACAGCCCATAGACTAACACAGCCCATAGACTAACACAGCCCATAGACTAACACTGCCCATAGACTCAACACTACCCATAGACTAACACTGCCCATAGACTAACACTGCCCATAGACTAACACTGCCCATATACTAACACAGCCCATAGACTAACACTGCCCATAGACTAACACTGCCCATAGACTAACACTGCCCATAGACTCAACACTGCCCATAGACTAACACTCCCCATAGACTCAACACTGCACCATAGACTAATACTACCCATATACTAACACTACCCATAGACTAACACTACCCATAGACTAGCACTACCCATAGACTAACAATGCCCATAGACTAACACTGCCCATAGACTAACACTGCCCATAGACTAACACTGCCCATAGACTAACACTGCCCATAGACACATACTGCCCATAGACTAACACTACCCATAGACTAACACTACCCATAGACTAACACTGCCCATAGACTAACACTGCGCATAGACTAACACAGCCCATAGACTAACACTGCCCATAGACTAACTCTGCCCATATACTAACACTACCCATAGACTAACACTGCCCATAGACTAACACTGCCCATAGACTAACACTACCAATAGACTAACTCTGCCCATAGACTAACACTACCCATAGACTAACAGTGCACCATAGACTAACACTACCCATAGACTAACACTACCCATAGACTAACACTATCCATAGACTAACATTGCCCATAGACTAACACTACCCATAGACTAACGCTGCCCATAGACTAACACAGCCCATAGACTAACACTGCCCATAGACTAACACTGCCCATAGACTAACACTACCCATAGACTAACACTGCCCATAGACTAACACAGCCCATAGACTAACACTGCCAATAGACTAACACTGCCCCTAGACTAACGCTGCCCATAGACTAACACAGCCCATAGACTAACACTGCCAATAGACTAACACTGCCCCTAGACTAACACTACCCATAGACTAACACTACCCATAGACTAACACAGCCCATAGACTAACATAGCTCATAGACTAACACTGCCCATAGACTAACACTACCCATAGACTAACACTGCCCATAGAGCAGTGGTTCTGAACCTGGGTGCCTGCCAGCCCTGGCGATGCGAGATGCCTTCTCTGCCCAGATTTTTTCAGAAGGTAAATCATCGAAGCACAATTTAAGCACGGGCCACGAGAGTGCAACTACTTACTTTGTTTCATCAACCGCCTATGTATTGATTAACATCATACATTTCATTTAATGGCTATGAACCAAACGGGTGCAAGGTTGCAGTCAAAGTTAAGAACCGAAGTTGTACATCAACGTCAGCCGTAGGAAGAAGACCATTACACTCATTTGACTATTATATTAATGTATGTTTTTAATTGATTGTTGTACTTGCACGTACGGCCCACTTGTCAATGCACTGCGACATGTAGGCCTCTCCGCGGTGCGGCATTCGTTCAGGCTATTTAGATTATTAGTTCATAATAAAGGTTTTTGGGTCAGATCGCGTTATTTATAAATGTGTCATAACCCTCCACCACCCGACACGGCCAATCAGCAAAAAAGTGTCACGTTGACAAAAGAGAAAAATTAACCCGTAAAAGCAAAGTTTTTCACTATAAATCCTTTATATGGGTGGCGGCTAGAGTCCTCTCGTCCTCTGGCTTGAGATGGCTGCCACCTATGGGTCAGAAGTTTGCCTGCCACCATTAAGCAATTGGTAATTAAATATTAAAAAAAATTCTTAAAAAGTGTAAAGTTACGGAAATTTTTTTACGAAAATAAATTGTCACGCACAACGAGTCTGTGTGCTAAAATGTCAGCTCGATTGGATCACGGGAAGTGGGTTAAAAAACGACCGAAAGATTTGCACGGTCGTAAGCGTGCACGCAAGCAAGCAAGTGAACTTAATAGAAAGGATTTAAAAATAGTTCACTACTTTAGCCAACCGGTGTGCAACATTGGCGTCCTTCATCGTGATGACGGACGCTTGTGTTGCGACCAAAATGTCGTGTTTGTTTCATTATTTGTTCCACCTCCGTGACTTTACCGAAAGAACCAGAGAGCACATACTCTTAGGTTTTTCGGTAAAGTCACGTAGGTAAAAAAGAAATAATAAAATTTGAATTGAAATAATAATAGAAATTTCAATTATTATTTCAATTATATTTGTAGAAATTTCTATTATTATTTCAATTACGTTTTTATTACTTATTTTTTTACCTACGTGACTTTACCGAAAAACCTGAGAGTACGAATCCATGCAGTCACGAAAGCTTCATATCTAGAACCAGAGAGCACGTCAAACTTATTTCGCTCCGCACCAAGCGGTGTCGGAGTAACGGCATCATCAGCACAGGGGGTGCGGCGATCGGCGAGGCGGCACCCCCCCAACCCCCCCAATATTTAATTTGTACGCACGGTGGTTTTGTCAAGGGGGGCCCTACCGCCCCCCCAAAAATAATCGCAACTTTGCCCACCAGGGATGCGCAAGGTCACCGCTTGCGCCACGCTCGTTAACGTCTCCCGATGCCCCGACCCCACGCGCCGCCGTCACCTTCAGTGTGCCCAGGCTCTCGGTCGTCTCGAGGATGTCGCGGACGCTGCGAGTGAGCGGAGCGATCACGCGGTCCACCAGGTGAACCACGCCGTTGGTGGCCAGGTAGTTGGGACGCAGCACACGGGCGCAGTTCACCGTCACGATCTGCGGGGTTCACGCGCAAGACACCGGCACCGTCGTCACTGCGCGTCGGAGACGTTGTCGCGTGCTGGTGTGGCTAGGAGATGTTGACCGCCTCGCCTGGTGTGCAGGAGGTCGTGGGTTCGATCCCGAGCCTGACGATGCCTGCTGTATATTTGGAGTTTGCGTGTCTCTCTCTCACAGTGGTGAGATGGTAACTACATCGCCTGGTATGCAGGAGGTCGTGGGTTCGATCCCGAGCCTGACGATGCCTGCTGTACATTTGGAGTTTGCGTGTCTCTCTCTCACAGTGGTGAGATGGTAACTACATCGCCTGGTATGCAGGAGGTCGTGGGTTCGGTCCCGAGTCTGACGATGCCTGCTGTATATTTTGAGTTTGCGTGTCTCTCTCTCTCATCATCATCACGGTGGCTAGGAGATGTTGACTACCTCGCCTGGTGTGCAGGAGGTCGTGGGTTCGATCCCGAGCCTGACGATGCCTGCTGTATATTTGGAGTTTGCGTGTCTCTCTCTCTCTCTCATCATCATCATGGTGGCTAGGAGATGTTGACTACCTCGCCTGGTGTGCAGGAGGTCGTGGGTTCGGTCCCGAGCCTGACGATGCCTGCTGTATATTTGGAGTTTGCGTGTTTCTCTCTCTCTCATCATCATCACGGTGGCTAGGAGATGTTAACTACCTCGCCTGGTGTGCAGGAGGTCGTGGGTTCGATCCCGAGCCTGACGATGCCTGCTGTATATTTTGAGTTTGCGTGTCTCTCTCTCTCTCATCATCATCACGGTGGCTATGAGATGTTAACTACCTCGCCTGGTGTGCAGGAGGTCGTGGATTCGATCCCGAGCCTGGCGGCGCCTGCTGTATATTTGGAGTTTGCGTGTTTCTCTCTCTCAGTGGTGAGATGTTAACTACCTCGCCTGGTGTGCAGGAGGTCGTGGGTTCGGTCCCGAGCCTGACGACGCCTGCTGTATATTTGGAGTTTGCGTGTCTCTCTCTCACAGTGGTGAGATGGTAACTACATCGCCTGGTGTGCAGGAGGTCGTGGGTTCGATCCCGAGCCTGACGATGTCTGCTGTATATTTGGAGTTTGCGTGTCTCTCTCTGTCATCATCATCACGGTGGCTATGAGATGTTAACTACCTCGCCTGGTATGCAGAAGGTCGTGATTTCTATCTAGACCCTGACGATGCCTGCTGTATTTTTGGAGTTTGCGTGTCTCTCTCTCTCTTCCCGTGGTCACGTGGATTTTTCTCCGGGTCCATCCGGTTTTTCCCTTCACGTTTACGATCAACGTCACCCGTTTCGAGTATTTGGCTGCGACTATAAATTTCCTCGCGATGATGATGATACGGCACTTTGTCGAGTTATCGTTTGTGAGCCTTACTTAATAAAATAAAATGTTCAGGTTGTTTAACCATCGCCGCTGATGCACGTATGTATGTCACAGAGTACGGAGCTAATCGAAGGTACGGGGGTGGGGGGGGGGGACACAGCCAATGTCTCTCTGCGTACGAATCACTCTGCGGGAATTCATGCGTTTTTATTGTAATTTTTTTGTCCTATTGTTGTTTATTATGATTTTTTATTATTGCTATTTTATGAAAAGTATTTTTTTTAATGTAGCTATTTTTATTATAATTTTCGATTAATATTTGTATGATTATTTCCTTATTATGTTTTATACCTTTTAATATTAGATTTGACTATTGCTTATCATTTATCATTATTTTATTATCGTCTATAATTATTTCCTTATTATTTATTCCTTTTTATAATTACATGTTTACTATTACTTACCACTTATTATTATTTTAATGTTATGTTTATCATTATTTTTTATTATTTTTCTAATTACATTTTTAATATTACTTATCATTTATTATAATTATTTTCATAACAATACATATATTTTTTTCTAATTTATATGTTTATGATTACCCCCCCCCCTCACCCCCCTCCCCGTTTCAAAGCCAAGAGCTTTCGTGTGTGAATGTTTATTAATATTATTATTACATTTATCTAACTTCGCGAGCTTTATTTTTCATCTCACACGGGAACATTTGTCAAGGGGCCGACGTGCGCAATTACCGAGCGCCGCTTGCGCTCAAGGTGCACAATCACCGCGAGATTCCAGCGGAAAGCAAAGGGCGCGCGCCCAGGGGCCCGTTTAAGCGAAAACCCCCAAAAATGCGATTCGGTGAGAGTTTCCGAGAATTTCATCCTCCATCAAAATTTCCGCGGCGCGCACCACGCTGCAACCCAGGAGGGGAGATGTTCGAACAAATAAAAAAAAATACATCAGCGTCAGCCCGAGCTACTCGATTAGAAATATACTATTTGGTTCTTTCGGTAAAGTCACGTAGGTAGAAAAAAATTAACCCGTAAAAACAAAGTTTTTCACTATAAATCCTTTATATGCGTGGCGGCTAGAGTCCTCTCGTCCTCTGGCTTGAGATGGCTGCCACCTATGGGTCAGATGATTGTCTGCCACCATTAAGCAATTGGTAATTAAATATTTTTAAAAAATTCCCTAAAAAGTGTAAAAAGTAATTGTCACGCACAACGAGTCTGTGTGCAAAATGTCAGCTTGATTGGATCACGGGAAGTGGGTTTAAAAACGACCGAAAGATTTGCACGGTCGTAAGCAATCAAGCAAGCACGCAAGCAAGTGAACTTAATATAAAGGATTTAAAAATTACAGAGCGCGACGTTTCGATCGCAACGCAAGCAACCGTCTTGCGTTGTGATCTATTATTTTTTCTACCCACGTGACTTCACCGAAAAACACAAAGAGTATGGATCCCTGCAGTCACGAAAGCTTCAAATCAAGATCGATTAGAAATGTCGCACAGGTGACAATGTCCACGTGTCCTTCTACTGCGAGGCAACAACATCTGGCAGGATTGAACTCTCCCCTTCCGCAGATGCCCTCGGTTTGGCGGAGAGCGAGTTCATCGGCCGTTTTCCTCCGCACCACGCTAAGACCGCAGCTAAGCCCCTGAATTTGTTCAGGCGACAAACCTCGCGTTGATCTGCTCCGACACACCCAGCAACGCATGCGTGGCAGATCGCGCGTTCGTTTCTATTATGCAGGAAATTAAATTTGAACGGACCCGATTATTGTAATTGCCGCTGTTATTAAGACGTTATTATTCAAAGTTCGAGGCGCGTCTCGCGTGTTGGAAGCGGGCGCCGAGAGGTGGGGGTGGCGTAAATTCCGCAGTCGTACTTAGAGGGAAAATCCACACGAGGCAATGGCGTTCTGTTGAGTTCACAGTAAATCGATCTCCCCAAATGGACACTAATTTTATCAGCCCCGAAGGGATAATTACCATGGCGGTAGAGTTTACCTTGGACGGGGGTTTAATATAATGACATATTAAAACATTTAGAATGCGTCTCGACCTAATGATCCACATTTTAGTCTGGTTATTAATTTTGTAAAAGGGGTCAGCTCATTCTTGATATGAAGCTTTCGTGACTGCAGGAATCCATACTCTTTGGTTCTTTCGGTAAAGTTACATAGGTAGAAAAATATATAATAGTAATGCAAAATTATATATTCCGACGTTTCGATTGCAACACAAGCGGTCGTCCTCAGGCGTAAATAAATAATTCAGCAGTGGAAACTGCTGAACCAATGAGGTCAGCTCATTTCGTTCAAAACTACCGGATCCGGCTCCTCTGAAGATGATAATTGTTTTTTTACCCTTTTATCTGCCAACAAAACTGACACCTTTTTTACAAGGAGTCATGTTTGCATAGACGACAATAGCTGCAGTCATAATGCAAACAAAAAACATAACTCTGATAATGTATGCAATGTCCTTGAAGTTGATTGGTCCACACCCGAGACAGCTTTCCTTAGAGCCTAGTCTCACATGGTGTTGGACCAGATGACGCCAAAAGGCGCACAACTCAAAGACAAAGCACCATCAGAGTATGAGAGCTTGGGGTAAGCATTTACACCATTGGAACCTCATTTGCCAGTAGCAAAATATGATAATTGTTTTTTTAACCTTTTATCTGGCAACAAAACTGACACCTTTTTTACAAGGAGTCATGTTTGCATAGACCACAATACCTGCAGTCATAATGCAAACAAAAAACATAACTCTGGTAATGTATGCACTGTCCTTGAAGTTGATTGGTCCACACCCGAGACAACTTTCCTTAGAGCCTAGTCTCACATGGGTTGGACCAGATGATGCCAAAAAACATGACTCCTTGTAAAAAAAGGTGCCAGTTTTGTTGCCAGATAAAAGGGTAAAAAACCAATTATCATATTTTTTACTGGCAAATGAGGTTCCAATGGTGTCCTCTGAAGATGTCTCGTGTGATGCCGGGATCAAACCCACGACCTCCTGCATACCAGGCGAGGTAGTTAACATCTCCTAGCCACCGTGGCGCTGAACGACACAGCAGCGGTCGCCATCCCGTCCCTGCAGTCTAATACCCCAGGCTGCTCGTGGACATGAGACTCATGCTGGTTCTCACCTGGCTAAACGGAATGAAGTTTAAACTGGAGCAGGGGCGGTTTCTTCATGAGGGCGATTGGGCGACGCACCACCAATGTCATTCAACCACAGAGTCACGCTAGCCGTCACTGTCAGCTTCTGGATATAGTCCAATCAGCGTCATGTCACGTTCTGTGGAGTACCGCCTCTTTTGGGGCGATTTCACTCCGGCTGAGAATCGCCCAGAGTGTTCCCATAGACTTACATTCAAAGATGTTTTTTTTCGAACGGGGGCGCTCAAATGCATTCTCTATGGCTTCCGGAAGGGCAAGCCCGAACGTGCTTACGTCATCATACGTGCTTACGTCATCATACGTAAGCACGTTTCATCCAACAATATAATTTATCGCTACCTAGTGGAATCTTTAATAAAATAATCTTGAGTGGTTTGTTTTAATAGTGAGTATATAAACAAACAAGATGTATTGTAAGAGTCACTTTATTTTTCATTAATATTAAAGAAGTGAAGTTGCCTTTACATGCTTAAGCTGTTAATTTATTCATTGCATGGGTGGACCTTATCCTTATCAATCATCCAGACATTTGCCCCCCCTGAGAGATTTTGCAGGAGCCGCCACTGAACTGGAGTAATGTAATCCTGCCACCAATAGAACCAGAGATGAATGAGAAGTTCGCTTTTTCTTTGTCGTGGCGTTCTGCTTCGTGAGCAGAGGTCGCAAACGGGTTTTGATTCCTTACCCGTACCCGGCCGCACCAGGGTCGCAAACGGGTACCCGTACTCGGCCGTACCCGTACCCTACCCCCGTACCCGGCTGGGTACGGGTATCGGGTACCTGATTGCGACCTCTGGGATGAAGCCATGTTGCAGGCGCGGGTGGGTTAATTCTAGGAACTTGAATTGTGAGAAGAGACAAGACGTTGGGAAATGAGTGACAAACGGTTACTCGCCAGTGACTCACGGTCTACCCGTACCCGTACCCGGCCGCACCAGGGTCGCAAACGGGTACGGGTATCGGGTACCCGGTTGCGACCTCTGTTCGTGAGTGACGCAATTCAACAACGGGGCATGACAGTGAAGGGCGGTGACATTTGTCCCTAATACTTATTCTACGTTAAAGGAGACTTTAAAAAAAGCCCCATTGACGTCAACTCCGTGAGATCACGTGCCGATGACGTGCGATTCAAAGTTGTACAAATAAAACGTTGTGGATCTTAACTCTGGAGCACGAGACACGTGCGTTTTGTCAACGGCCGTCAATTGTTTTGCAATTTGAGTTTCGCATTTTCAACAAAGTGGCTTCGAATGCGCTGGGTAGCCGCGCATCACCACCACGTGAACGGCCGACGGTGCTTTGTCGCCGGGTAGACTGGGCTCCGTCATACAAATGTGGAATTGCCATCGATCACTCGCTCAGCGCGGCGCGGTTGTATAGAGAACCGCGTTGACTTTTGCCGAGGATTGTGCCACACGTGTATATTACTGTATCTGGCATTGGTGGTTGTTTTTTTTTGTCGAAGTGTATTATTTCTGCTTTATTTACTGGAGCTTCCCATTAAATCATGTGCACCCTGCCGGTTCTGGGTTGTATTTATTTAAGCACTGAATACTATGAAAATAAATGCACCAGTGTGGTGTGTGTGTGATGTTTGGTGTTTTTGGTCGACTAAGCCTCATACGTGGAGCCGTTAGCACTACGCTGAACTATGAACCCAGCTGCCCGAGTTGGATTCCCGCTCACGGCCACCAACAACCGGTGACGATGATTAGAACCGGTCCTGGGCCTCCCCTAGGTCGACTCGGCCTCAAATGAGTACCCGGTGCGGTGCGTAAAAACTTTTCCACTGGGGAGACAAAGGCGCGCGGGGGTGGTGTTGGACGCCCATCCCCAATCGTGTGCCGTTCCGGCCTTCATAGGCGCTCGCTAACAGCACTTGCCCCAACATTCTGTGAAGGCTACACAGTGGCAGGGGGGGATCTTTGTCTGTGTGCTTCTGGTGCTGTTGGGGACTACGCGCGTTGGGCTGGTCGTGATGTGGGCGGTTGGAAAAGCAGCAGTCGCTGTCCGCAGATTTTTGCGTCGTGGTTTTTTTTTCATTTCGACATCACATTGCGAATGACAGCACCAGGGATGCCGTGCCAGACCACATTACTCCACCAGCGTGGGGTAACGGGCTTCACTCCAATGGGCTGTTTGTGGTGGTGGGGGTAACGGTTCGAGGCTATACGTGGGGGCCGACCTTTGTCTTCGTGTCCGTGAGCTTGTCGGTTGCTTGCGTGCACAACAGACAGAGATCCCCCGCGTGGCCTGCGACAGACTGTCGGTGCGAGCGCTGTTAGCGAGTGGCGGCACCTATGAAGGCCGGCACGGTACACTCTGGGAGAATGGGTGGCCGGCACCACGTCCAAGCAGCCTGTTCATCAATTGAGGCCGAGTCGACCTAGGGGGGGCCCAAGACCGGTCCGGGATAACCGTCACCGGTGGTCTCCGTGAGCGGCAATTGAACTCGCTTCATCGGCAGCGCACACGACCGCTCCCTCGACGCGCGCGCGCACATCAGACAAAAGGATCCCACGTGCATCAGCCTTGAACAGACCGTTCCACCTGGGGGGGGCACGCGCACGGGCACTCACCCCGTTGACGTAGTGCTGGACGTTGATGGTGCCGCCCGCGTTCTGCGAGCGCAGGGTGGCACCGTGCCGCATGTCGCTCAGCAGCAGACGCTTGTCCACCATGTGGTTCCGCAAGGCGTCCTTCAGCTTGCTCCCGGTCAGCCCGTTGCGAGTCGCCTGCACGCGCGCGCGCACGCACGCAAGTTCGGCCCGAGGCCGATGTTTGCAACACAGAGCACCACCCGAGGGTGCTCTCGTGTTGGGTCGTGAGCGCGAATCGCGAGGTTCGGGTCGCCGCCGGGCTCATTGGCGCAAGTTCGCGAAACGCACGCACAAAGATCCCCCGTATAGCCTTAACAGACTGTAGGGGCAAGTGCTGTTAGCGAGCACCTATGAAGGCCGGAACGGTACACGAGGGGGTGGGTGGCCGGCACCACGCCCAGCCGCCTTTGTCTCCCCAGTGACGATGTTTTTACGCACCTAGGTGACGCCCAGGATCGGTTCAGATAATCGTCACCGGTGTTCATATTCTTAGGTTTTTTCGGTAAAGTCACGTAGGTAAAAATTTTAAATTTAAATAAATGAAAGTAAAATACAAATAAAATAAAAATCACGACGTTTCGGAGGCAACACAAGCTTCCGTCTTCAGGTGGAACCGTCACAGCACGACTGCTGCATCAAGTGAGAGGAGTCACCGGTGTTGGCCGTGAGCGGGAATCGGACTCGGGTCACCGAACCCGATGTTTTTACGCACCGCACCAGACGCTCGTTTTAGTCCGGGTCGATGAGTGCTTGAAGGGGGTAGGGCCCCCCCCCCCCCCGCAATGTGCCGTGTGCGGCCGGGCATCAGACGAGCGCTGATTGGGGGGGCACATCTAAAGGACACGACAGGCCACGTCGAACCAAAACTATTCCGCAACTGGGCCACGTGCGAGACGCCCTGCGGCAGCACAGAGGGCTGTGACGAGTGGCAAAAGGCACAATTCGCAGGTGCCGGGGGAGTGGGGCGAGGGGCAACATACACGCACACAAAGATAAAGATCCCCTGTATAGCCTTAACATACTGTAGGGGCAAGTGCTGTTAGCGAGCACCTATGAAGGCCGGAACGGTACACGAGGGGGTGAGTGGCCAGCACCACGCCCGACCGCCTTTGTCTCCCTAGTGGCGATATTTACACACCGCACCAGGTACTCATTTGAGGCTGAGTCGACCTAGGGGAGGCCCAGGACCGGTTCAGATAATCGTCACTGGTGTTGGCCGTGAGCGGGAATCGAACTCGTGTCGCTGGGTTCATAGCGCAGCGTAGCGCTAACCGCTACACCACCGCTCCCCACAACACACACGCACACACATACACACACACGCACACACGTACACACACACACGCACACACACACGCACACACACGCGCATACACACACGCGCACACACACACGCACACACACACACACGCACACACACACACGCACGCACACACGCACGCACACACACACGCACACACGCACACACACACGCACACACATACACGCACACACACACACGCACACACACACGCACACACACACACACGCACACACACACACACGCACGCACACACGCACGCACGCACACACACACGCACACACGCACACACACACGCACACACATACACGCACACACACACACGCACACACACACGCACACACACGCGCACACACACACACGCACACACACACGCGCACACACACACGCACACACACACACACGCACACACGCACACACACACACGCACACACACGCACAACAACAACAACAACCGCCATTCGCCACTAAGTGGCGGTGACGTCACCACGATGCTTGTGCCAGGCCAAGTGCACCTTGAGGCCACGTGAAGTGTCGAACGCCCGCTGGCAGGAGGTCACGGGGCAGACCCAGGTGCCACGGGTCGACTGACCGAGATGACCGAGATGACTGGCTGATGCACCACCTGTGCCCCCCTACTGTACCAACTTGCTGTGCTTTAGCCACCCGGCGCTCCGCTCGTTGTTGTGAGCGTCGCTCCTCCGCCCTCCGTTGTTGTTGGAGGGCGACTGCTTCCAACTGCCCAGTAGCGTCCTTCACGAGCCTCCTCCACTGAGGCCGATCTTGACACCGCTGGTACCAGTCATCGGCAAGTCCACTCAGCTCCACGTCCTCCTGTACCACATCACTCCATCTCTTCTCCAGCCCGTGCCGCGCCCGTCTAGCCCCCTCGATCCGGCCGAACAAAAGCTGTTTAGGCATGCGGTGGCTGGGCATGCGGGCTACATGACCCAGCCAACGCAGCCTTGCCTGCCGGAGGAGCTCACTGATGGGACTTTGCCCAGATCTTTCAAGGATTTGTGAGCTCCTCACACAATCCAGCCTGGTTAAACCCAGGATGGATCGTAGGCAGGCCAGCCTAAATGTTTCCAACCGGCGAAGATGCTCCACTAGGGGGGTCCACGTTTCGCAAGCGTAGAGAAGGGAGGGAATGACCGTGGCCGAGAAGACCTGAAGCTTCTTGCGGAGCGACAGACCAGGTAGCTTCCACACAGCGTTACGCAACCGATGAAAAGATATTGCCGCTCGACTGATTCGGAGTGATACCTCTGCTGATAAACTGGAGCCGGTCATAAGCACACTGCCCAGGTATGGGAAACTCTCCACTCTCTCCACAACTGCCCCATCACCAATTGGGAGTTGTGGGGGTGGAGTGTCCGATGGTACAAAATACCCAGGCAGGTGCTTAGTTTTGGTGGGGCTGATGGTAAGGCCCCACCTCTTAGTGGCACGCTCCAGTCTCAGCAGCAGCGTCTCCAACTCCTCTTCTGAATGAGCAGCTATTACCAAATCATCGGCATACATAACGTGGTTGACCAATAGGGAGCCATCCCTTGATCGCACCCGGGCATCGATCAGCCTCCCATTATATCTGTACCAAATGGAAATTCCCCCGGTACAGCTATTGAAGGCTTCACGAACTACGCGGTCAAAATAGATGTTAAATAATGTGGGAGCCAGAGGACATCCCTGTCGCACCCCAAGGTGTACAGGGAAAGGCTCCGACTCCCGGCCACGTAGTTTTACCCGGGCCCGCTCACCATCATGAAGGTCCTTAATGATCGTGAGCAGAGGGTCAGGGACTCCGAAAGCACGAAGAACAACCCAGAGCCCAGTCCTACTGATGGTATCATAGGCCTTGACCAGGTCAATAAAGCAGAGATGTAGGTCTTTTTGGAATTCCCTACACCTCTGCTGTAGCAGACGGACAGAAAATATGGCATCTGTGCAGGACCGCCCTTTCCTGAAACCGCATTGGGGCTCCGCAAGCCTCTCCTCAGCGTGCCTAGCAAGGCGATGTTGAATTATTCTTGCCAGGACCTTACCCGGCACACTGAGGAGTGAGATGCCCCTGTAGTTGTTACAGTCGGTACGGTCCCCCTTCTTAAAGAGGGGGACCACCAGGGCATCCTTCCAGTCCTGCGGAACCCGTCCAGTGGTCCAGACTGTTGTTATGATGTCATATAGGGCAGTCTGTGCACAAACGCCACCCTCCCTCAGCATTTCGCTTGGGAGATCATCTCTGCCCGGTGCCTTCCCTGGTCTCAGACTCCGGATCGCCCTCAGTACTTCCTCAACAGCTGGCACCTCAGCCAGCCACTCACAGGGGGTGACCTCTTCCAATATTTGAGGCACCGCAGCCTCAGCAGGGTTATCACCACTTTGTGCCATGATGTTTTCCTGGCTGAGAGAATTTCCCTCCCCCAGGACCTCACAGAAATGCTCAGCAAATCTGCAAACCTGTTCCTGGGGGTCGGAGATTGGATCACCGTTTTTTCCTCTAATGATGGTAATAGGTGTGGCGCTGCAGGTTACTTTTTTGATGGAGTTAAATAGTGATTTGTGATCACGGGCCACTGAGGCAGACTCCATCTCCTCAGCAACCCGCGACCACAACCCATCCTTACAGCGCCTTACGGCTCTCCGAACTTCCGAGCGAAGGCTGCGGTAAACCTCCTCATTCTCTGACGTGGGATGCTGTAGGCGATGAGAGTGGGCCTGTCGCTTTTTCTCGATTAACCTGAACACCTCCTCTGTCAGCCAGGGTTTCTGGGGAGGTCTGGACCGCGTACCCAAAGCAGCCATTGCAGCTGCATGAGTCACAGTCTTAAACCTCGCCCATTTACCCTCGACATCAGGTGGAGTGGGGGACGATGCCAACCCCAGCTGCAAGCGATGATGAAATTCTCGCTTGCAACTTTCATCAGCTAACTGAGACCAGGCCACTTTTGGTTGGAATGGGATCCTGGGTGTACACCCACCACCGGAGTGGAAGAAAGGCAGGCGCATCTTACAGATGACTAGTCGATGGTCAGAGGGCAGATCAGCTCCACGGTAGGTCCTGGTGTCAAGGACATGGGCTCGCATTCGCTGGTCCGTCACTATGTAGTCCAGCACACACGCACACACACACACGCACACACACACGCACACACACACACGTACACACACACGCACGTACACACACACACGCACACACACACACGTACACACACACGCACACACACACACGCACACACACGCGCACACACCTCAGCCGAGAGCGAAGGTTGTGTTGTTGTTGTGTGTACAGAGCGGCCAGATTTCCCCTGGAGTGAGCATCACCCACATCCGAGACAGGGGGCAGGGGGGGGGGGGGTAGAACGGGGGGGGGGGGGGTAGAACGAGGGGGTTGGAACGGGGGGGGGGTTAGAACGAGGGGGTTGGAACGGGGGGGGGGGGGGTTAGAACGAGGGGGTTGGAACGGGGGGGGAGATAGAACGGAGGGGGGGGGGACAGGGGGGGTTAGAACGGGGGGTAGAACGGGACGGGGGGTTAGAATGGGTGGGAGTAGAACGAGGGGGGGGGGAGGTTAGAACGGGGGGGGTTGGAACGGGGGGTAGAACGAGGGGGGGGGGTAGAACGGGGGGGGGGGGTTAGAACGGGGGGGGGTTAGAACGGGGCGGGGGGGGTAGAATGAGGGGGGGCGGTAGAACGAGGGGGGGGGGTAGAATGAGGGGGGCGGGTAGAACGAGGGGGGGGTAGAACGAGGGAGGGGTAGAACGAGGGGGGGGGTGTAGAACGAGGGGGGGGGTAGAACGAGGGGGGGGGGGTAGAACGAGGGGGGGGTTAGAACGGGGGGGGGTAGAACGAGGGGGGGGGGGTTAGAACGGGGCGGGGGGGGGGTAGAATGAGGGGGGGCGGTAGAACGAGGGGGGGGGTAGAACGAGGGGGGGGGTTAGACGAGGGGGGGGGTAGAGTAGAACGAGGGGGGGGTAGTAGAACGAGGGGGGGTAGAATGAGGGGGGGGGGTAGAACGAGGGGGGGGGGTAGTTATAGAACGAGGGGGGGGGGTAGAACGAGGGGGGGTAGGGGGGTAGAACGAGGGGGGGGGTAGAACGAGGGGGGGGGGGGGTAGAACGAGGGGGGGGGTTAGAACGAGGGGGGGGGTTAGAATGAGGGGGGGGGGTAGAACGAGGGGGGGGTAGAATGAGGGGGGGGGTAAAACGAGGGGGGGGGGGTAGAACGAGGGGGGGGGGGTTAGAACGAGGGGGGGGGTTAGAACGAGGGGGGGGGGTAGAACGAGGGGGGGGGGGGTAGAATGAGGGGGGGGGGTAGTAGAACGAGGGGGGGGGGGGGTTAGAATGAAGGGGGGGGGGTTAGAACGAGGGGGTTGGAACGGGGGGAAGTAGAACGGAAGGGGGTTAAAACGGCGGTGGGTGGGGGGGGGGGCGGTGGAACAGAGGGGGGGGATTAGAAAGGGGATTAGAACGAGGGGGGTATAACGAGGGGGGGGGGGTGGGGGGGCGAGGTGGTCTCACATCGTCGAGTTGAGCCCACGCGGCGTCGCTGGGGGCGAACATCGTCATGGCCTTGGGCATCTCGAGCTCGGCGCGCAGGCCGGCGCGGGCCACCAAGTCGCGCGTCTTGCTCGCCTCCAACGCCTCCAGCGTGCTGAAGATGTTGGTGAGAGGCGCGACTATGGGGGGGGTGGGGGGGTGGGGGTGATTGTGATTTGGGGGGGGTGGGGGTGGGGCACGGACAGCGAGGGGGTCGTCGTCAGCGAGACGCGAGCGTTGTCGGAGTCTCTGCCCCGAGCGGTCGGGCCACGTGCGACTCTTTTTAAATCCTTTATGTTAAGTTCGCTCGCTCGCTTGCTTAGGACCGTGCAAATCTTTCAGTCGTTTTTTAACCCACTTCTCGTGATCCAATCGAGCTGACATTTTGCACACAGACTCGCTGTGCGTGACAATGCATTTGCGTGAAATTTTTTTTCCAAAATTTTACACTGTTTAGGGATTTTTTTTTAAAATATTTATTTACCAATTGGTTAATGCTGGCACACAATCATCTGACCCATAGGTGGCAGCCATCTCAAGCTAGAGGACGAGAGGACTCTAGCCGCCCCGATGCCACGCATATAAAGGATTTATAGTGAAAAACTTTGTTTTTACGGGTTAATTTTTTGTTGTTGTTCTTGAACATCGCAAACCGACTTTCGCACCGAGCGATGCAGCCCTCGTCCGGCCAACACCGGCGGGGTGTACGCGTTACTGCCCCCTGGCCCAGCGTGTCTACGTTGTCGTCCGTTCGATGATTCACGCTGTTGCCCAGACGTTCCTGCGTGGGGGGTGGGTGGATTGATTTTTTTTTCTTCCCAGAGCTGGGAATGCACAGGTTGGGAACGCGGTTGCCTTAAATCAGCATCTCAGATTCTAACCGAGTGTCTCACCCCAGGAACTCACATCAAGTTGGCATTTGTGGCTGTTTAACTCACTCACTCACTGTACTAATTATTTCACTATGTAACACGATTTTTGTTCCTGGGTAGTAAGTGTTATTTTATAATTGCTTAAGCCCTTAAACGTATAAACAATGGCTATTCTTCCCCACAAACTTTGTTTTTGTGACCAGAACTTTACGTGAAGGAATGACACAAATGCACACCACGTTTTCTCATTGACAATAGGTACATTTCAAAACATCAATGTCCTGGTCACAAAAGCAAAGTTTGTCGGGAATAATAGCCATGTTCTGTACTTTTTAGGGATAAGATACTAGGAAATTACACTTACTACCCAGGAACAAAAAGATATAAATTTTGTTGTTACACTGTGATTATTTTAATTTTACAAGTTAAAGCCCACTGAACTAAGCGACCTGGTCACAAATGACAGCCAAACGAAGTGGCTCATCATCAGGTGGATCATTTACAGCAGGAAAGAAACTCTAAACGCACGATGTTGATTCTACATGTGGAGGAAAAAACACCGAATGGCCCGGAGGAAAATCCACGCGGCCACGAACAGAACACGCAAACGCCAAATATACAACAGACATTAGGGTCGGGATCAAATCCACGACCTCCTGTATACCAGGTGAGGTTATTCTCGCAACCACGACGCCCCAAAGTTATCAAGAGCATGCGTGTTGTGTTTAAATCAACGTTTCGCTTCGTTCACAAGTGAAGGCCATTATCGTCGAGCCTAACCAATTTGTTTGCCAAAAAATTGAATAAACGACCACACTTATAGCGTGACCTCGCTTCTCCCCTTGCACACGAGTCGACGAATGCCAAAGGGCTCTCGCACCCGGCTGAGCGTTCCGTGGCGTATGCACGCACGTTGAACTTCCTTCGCGCCGTACGTGGCCAGCCCAACAGGAGAAGCTCAACGTCGTGTCAACAGCGTGGATCCCCAACGCTGTCAGAAGAGAGGCGTAGAAGCCGTTCCCCGTACTGGCTGTCAAAAGGCTCACGCTCTGGCTGTCAAAGGACCACGTTTAAAGGAGCCACCGGAGACTCGCTTGACAGCGGCGTTAGCCTGGATGCTTGCGGCTGACATCGGGGAGAAGCGGGCGCTACGTGAGGCTGACCACTGCCCTTGTAACGCTCCTAACGAGCTTGCTGCGTGATTCATTATCAGGGCCTGTGAGCACCAACCCGCCCTTCCCCCACCCCGACGACTGTGGCACTCTCTGGGCCTTCTCTCACGTGACACCCGTACTGTGGAGCTATCTGGGCCTTCTCTCCCGTGGCACCATTGTGGAAGTCTCTGGGCCTTTTCTCACCTGCCACCCGCACTGTGGAACTTTCTGGACCTTCACTGCCGTGCCACCCGCACTGTGGAACTATCTGGGCCTTCTCTCCCGTGACACCCGCACTGTGGAAGTCTCTGGGACTTCTCTCCCGTGACACCTGCACTGTGGAAATCTCTGGGCCTTCACTTCCGTGGCACGTGCACTGTGGAACTCTCTGGGTCTTCACTCTCTGGGCCTCGGACACTTTTTAGCCAACCCCCATTCCCATTGCTATTCATGCAAAATGCCTTGAGATTTTATGATGAAAGCTGCAAGTATTGTTGTTATTTTCTGAGACATCCACTTCGTTATGTTGTCCACGTTGACCTGGACAATGTGACACAGTTATTTAGCTCCGGTTGCATTTATCTCTACCTGCTGGATCGCTGTATTTTGTTTTTGAATGTTGGTGATCCAGACCACTCTTGCCGATGACACTCTCTCCTAATCGGTTGAGTGTTCACCCGTAAAAAAAAAAATCTACTTGAAACTTCAACCCATTTTACTCTCTATCTCACTCAATTGTTTTTGCCCACTCGTCCACAATCTCACTCACTCACGTACGCAATCATCCACTCCCTCATCCGCTCCCTAATCTACCTCGCCTGGTATACAAGAGGACATGGGTTCGATCCAGAACCTGACGCCTGCTGTATATTTGGAGGGTGTGTTCCTCTCTCCCCAAGTTGTGTGGACCAGTCAACTTCAAGGACAGTGCATACATTATCAGAGCTATGTTTTTGTTTGCATTACGACTGCAGGTATTGTGGTCTATGCAAACATGACTCCTCGTAAAAAAGGTGTCAGTTTTGTTGCCAGGTAAAAGGGTAAAAAACCAATTATCATATTTTTAACTGGCAAATGAGGTACCAATGGTGAAAATAAAAATAGTTTTAGTCTATAGTTTACGTACAAAAATGATCGATGGCAACCTACACACGCACATTTACGCATGACGTGTCAACCCATGCGGTTTGCCCCGTATTCTTGTACAGGCAAACTGAGTTTTCAGGTCCGTATGGCGTACAGCCGTTTCAATAGGGGCAAAATAAAAAATGGTTTTGTCAATTCCCATTTCTCCCTTGTGATGGGACTTTGTAGGATGAACGTTGAGATTTACAAGGAAGCACGGGTTGTCCAATACGGCCTGAGTTGGTCTGTAATAAGGCAGGGCACTGATAAGGGGTTGACAGGTACGTAGTGGTGAGTGTAGTGGTGAGTGTACTAGTGGTGAGTGTAGTAGTGGTGAGTGTAGTGGTGAGTGTACCAGTGGTAAGTGTGGTGGTGAGTGTAGTAGTGGTGATGTAGTAGTGGTGAGTGTAGTGGTGAGTGTGCTAGTGGTGAGTGTACTAGTGGTGAGTGTACTAGTGGTGAGTGTACTAGTGGTGAGTGTACCAGTGGTAAGTGTGGTGGTGAGTGTAGTAGTGGTGATGTAGTAGTGGTGAGTGTAGTGGTGAGTGTACTAGTGGTGAGTGTACTAGTGGTGAGTGTACTAGTGGTGAGTGTACTAGTGGTGAGTGTACTAGTGGTGAGTGTACTAGTGGTGAGTGTACCAGTGGTGAGTGTGGTGGTGAGTGTAGTAGTGGTGATGTAGTAGTGGTGAGTGTAGTGGTGAGTGTACTAGTGGTGAGTGTACTAGTGGTGAGTGTACTAGTGGTGAGTGTACTAGTGGTGAGTGTACTAGTGAGTTTACCAGTAGTGAGTGTAGTGGTGATTGTACTAGTGGTGAGTGTAGTAATGGTGATTGTCTATTTGTTTGTGTTTCTGCCATTGTGATGGGACTTTGTAGGATGAACGTTGAGTTTTATATGGGGCACGGGGTGACCAACACGTTCTGAGTTGGTCTGTAATAAGGCAGGGCACTGGTAAGGGGTTGACATGTGTGCGTACGTAGGTTAGTGAAACTGCACCGTGTGAGCCTGGCGGACCTGAGGTTCCATTCGCAGCCGTGGCTAAACCATCGGCGGCGAGTGGGAGATGTCACCCGCTTGGCTCCGTCAGAAGTGATACCACCGCCACTGACTGACGACCGCTCGGTGCCCTTCAGCAGAGGTCCCCAAAACTTTTTGGCACCAGGGATCGGTTTCGTGGAAGACAATTTATTCACGGATCGCGGGGGGGGGGGGGGGGAGGGGGGGGGTTCATCATTTGGTCTTTCCCCCTTTTCAAAGAAGCTCTCCAGCAACGTTTGTTTGGCTACTAGGGGTCAGCAGCTTGTGGGCTCACCACAACTGTGACTGAGACAAGTGCGCGGTGCGGGAAAGAGGCGCGGACGGAAGTGGTAGATGAAAACTTAATTTGGAGCTTTCGTGACTGCAGGAATTATGTCTTTGGTTCTTTCGGTAAAGTGACGTATAAAGATAAAATAATACATTTAATTAAATACTAGCATACGACGTTTCGATTGCAACGCAAGCAATCGTCATCAGGTATAAATTAAGTAGAAACACAAATCTAGTTTACTCAGAAATGTAATGTAATACAACAGAGAGTCGGAAGTGGTAACTAATAAAATAATGGGGGCTGGCCGGGGTTGGGGACCCCCCCTGCCCTTCAGCGATTGCGAGCTTTGTTCCGAGGTGATAGCAGACGGCGCTGTCACTTGCCTGCCCCCCACCTTCATCTCCCTCCCCCCACCGTCTCGATGCGCAAACCTCTGCAGCAAATTACGCTGACTCCGCTCCAGGTTGGGGCGGTCGACGTTTCGAAGTGAGAACCGCGAACACTCAAAAGAATTTCGATTTAAAGCTTCTTTCGTGACTGCAGGGATTCATCTTTTTGGTTCTTTCGGTAAAGTCACGTAGAAGGGAAGTAATACAATAATAAAAATAAAACATAATAAAATAATTCTCACGACGTTTCGGCCACAACGCAAGCAGCCGTCCTTCACCTGAGGACGGCTGCTTGCGTTGTGGCCGAAACGTCGTAAGAATTATTTTATTATGTTTTATTTTTATTATTTTATTACTTCCCCGCCTTGCCCCCCCCCCCCCACCGCCAGTGTTCCATCACCCGAGACCCTGGGTGTAGTGGGTACGGCGAGATGACCACGCGTCCGCCTTGAATGAAATGAATGAGTGGGAATCTCAAACGGCCCTGGGCCATGTCTCGAAATGTCGCCTATTATTATTATTCAATATATATACTTTCAAGGCCACGGTGTTATTGAGAAGTGTCTTGAGTAGAATTTTTTGTTGTTGTTGATGTCAGTTGTTGTGCGTGTGTCAATGTCAGCAGCAAGCAGCAGCAGCAAATGATTTGTGTAGTGCGGTGAGATATAGTCTAACAACCCCCACAGGTGACAGGGCATGGACAAGCTGTCATCAATCAGTGGATTGACAAAGGCACGCGTGTGTGTGTGACGGTGCAAATCTATTGCACTGTGCCAATACCTTTGGGAATCTACGAGAAAGGGGGGGGGAGGGTGATGCAGAGATGCGGTCGCATCGGCAGCATCGACAACATTGTCTGTGATGACCTCTTGACCTTCGCCTCGATAACCACTGCTGGAATCGTTTTGAAGGTCACGGCCCGTGATCGCTTTATAATGACCCCGGCAGTCTCCCCTTGGCATTGAGAAGTAATGACCGTTGGGAATTCTTGGTTTGGAATAAAAAGAGCTTAATAGCTCATCGAATTCCTCCAGTATGAATACAGATTCGCATTTTCGATATCGTCCATTCAGTTCGAACTGGAAATGTTAACTCGAAATTCTACACCATCGAAAGAAAACTTCGATAAATTCCCCCCCACAAAATGATCCATCAGATTGGAAAACAATTCTTGCAAATGCCAGAATTGTATGGATCGCTCTTCAGCAGCGCACATGTGGTGCTGAAGCACTTTTCTTTGTCACGTGACGACTTCGTTAGTCGGGTAGTGGAGGGTGTACGACTAAAACCAAACTTCTTGGTTCTTTCGGTAAAGTCACGTAGAAGGGAAGTAATAAAATAATAAAAATAAAACATAATACAATTATTCTCACGACGTTTCGGCCACAACGCAAGCAGCCGTCCTCAGGCCATTCTTCACCTGAGGACGGCTGCTTGCGTTGTGGCCGAAACGTCGTGAATTATTTAATTATGTTTTATTTGTATTATTTTATTACTTCCCTTCTACGTGACTTTACCGAAAGAACCAAGAAGATGAATCCCTGCAGTCACGAAAGCTTTAAATCGAAATAAAAATAAACTTTTTATTTTATTTACTAACTAAGGTCCACTGAGCTGAATTGCTCTTTTATCAGAAGCGACCTGGCCACAAATGAGAGCTCAACCGAGTGGCTTATTACGTGGACATTTATAGCAGCCAGATACTCTTAAACGCGTGATGTTAATTTTAAATGTGGAGGTGAAAACCCGGAGGACTCGGAGAAAAATCCACGCGACCACGAGGAAAACGAGAAAACTCCAAATATACAGCAGGCATCAGGATCGGGATCGAACCCACGACCTCCTGCACACAAGGTGAGGGAGTTGACATCCCCTAGCCACTGTGGCGCCCCTTATAAACGCATTTTACCTACGGGGATCTGACCCACAAATCAAGCATGAAATTAAATTTGGGTTGCGAGAGCCTACAGCACGTTTGATTCAGATTGTAAACGATTAGGGATCATATTTGTAGTACAAATCAATCAACGTGTTTACAATTATAAATACCCAAACTGTGTGTGCCTACTAATGACCGTGTCTCATATCTAGAAACAGTATTCCTGCCAATATAATTAAGCTAAACAGAAACAATCATATTCTGTTTTATCTATCTTGTTTTATTGCAAACGATTGTTATCGTTAATTGGTTCTTTACCCTTCTATCTGGCAACAAAACTGACACCTTTTTGCAAGGAGTCATGTTTGCATAGACCGCAATACCTGCAGTCATAATACAAACAAAAGAACATAACTCTGATAATGTGCACTGTCCCTGAAGTTGATTGGTCCACACCCGAGACAGCTTTCCTTCGAGCCTAGTCTCATATGGGTTGGACCAGATGACGCCAAAAGGCGCAAAAGTGCGCCAAAAGTGCGCCTTTTGGCGTCATCTGGTCCAACCCATATGAGACTAGGCTCGAAGGAAAGCTGTCTCGGGTGTGGACCAATCAACTTCAGGGACAGTGCACATTATCAGAGTTATGTTCTTTTGTTTGTATTATGACTGCAGGTATTGCGGTCTATGCAAACATGACTCCTTGCAAAAAGGTGTCAGTTTTGTTGCCAGATAGAAGGGTAAAGAACCAATTATCATATTTTTACTGGAAAAATGAGGTCCCCATAGTGATTGTTATCGTCTTTGCAATCTTTTATTTTGCAATGATTCAAGTCTCATCGGTACATTGCTCTCACCTTGCTTTACATCACATGTAGATGAGTATTGGTCCTCATTTGCGCACGGTTTGTATTTCCTAGGCTGGTAAAGCCCGTTCAGATTGTTTTATCCCGTCAAACTCAACACATCTGTCAAAAACGTTGCGGCCTTAAACAAGGAACAAGTAAACCCGTAAAAACAAAGTTTTTCACTTTAAATCCTTTATATGCGTGGCGGCTAGAGTCCTCTCGTCCTCTGGCTTGAGATGGCTGCCACCTATGGGTCAGATGATTGCCTGCCACCATTAAGCAATTGGTAATTAAATATAATATTTTTGCCCTAAAAAGTGTAAAATTTTGGAAACAAATTTTCACGAACATAAATTGTCACGCACAACGAGTCTGTGTGCAAAATGTCAGCTCGATTGGATCACGGGAAGTGGGTTAAAAAGCGACCTAAAGATTTGCACGGTCCTAAGCAAGCAAGCAAGTGAACTTAATATAAAGGATTTAAAAATAAATGACAGTCGACGTTGCAGACAATGGCCTTTCTTCACAGCAACATGCGTTTTGCAATTAACCCTTTTCCATTCCGATGACGTACGCGTTACACATACGCACTCGTGTACGTAATCAGTTTTAATTCCGGTTCGGAAGAAAATAAAATTAAGTAACTTTATCGGTACCGAGGCTCCCACAAGGCCATGCGGGAGGGCGTGTGGCACAGTGTCGACGCCGGCTATCGCAGAGTGCAGCGGTCGTGTCGCTACAGTTCTCTGCGGTGAGTAACGGCGTCTTTAAAACAAAAACACCGGCGCTGCTACGCCTCAGCGGTGAGTGAGACACCACCCAACCAAGCAACTTGCGGTCACATCTCGGCCGGGAAAATGGTTTAAAATGATCGAACGCGTCACCAATACTTACTGGCAGGGCAGCCTTTCTCGCCTTCCACCTTCATGTATCCGGGGCAGCATTCGAACTTCACCATCCTGGGGAAAGAGACGATCAAAAAAACCCAACAGAATCAGAATGTTTATTTATACTGTGGGAGGAATCCGATGAACTGTAAAGTTCTTTTTTTTCACAGATGTCCAGTTTGTGGCACGGGGTTCACAACGTTACAACAACAAACAATACAACAACACAATAGGAGTGCAGAGTACAGCATTCTTCGTGGGTCACATCGCGTAATGCGCCGTTAAACCCGCCACCACCTGGCACAGCCAATTGTAGCGAGGTTTGCCGCGTAACCAAGACGTGCCAATTCACGTGCCGAACCCTTACCGAATAGGCTGCCTCGGGTGGTGACGGGTTTAACGACACATTCATAGTTACGCGATCTAACACACACGCACACGCAAAAAAAAAAAAAACTCTCATGAAATAATATCATGTTCTTTGGTTCTATCGGTAAAGTCACGTCGGTAGAAAATAATAGATCACGACGTTTCGATCGCAACAAAAGCGACAGTCATCAGGTGAAACAATCACGCGTCGGAGTTGACCGGCCATTGGAACTGTCCACCTTTGGGTTTTGCCAAGGGGGACGCCGTAACACGGCTTGCCATGCCTCCACCGACGTACAATGCGTGTATCTGAAGCGCTTTAGTGGCGAAGGCGCTGGAGGAAGAGTGGCCGGCGACGAGAGGGGTCACTTCGCCGGGTGACCGATGCCTTCTCTGTGACAGCAGCGATGTGTCTGGCAACGTTAGCCAGCGCTCCGAGTAAGGCTCTGGGACTTCGCGTGGCCGTGTGCTTGCGCGTACGTACGAGTGCATGGTGAACTTCTTTCGTGCCATACGCAGCCAACCGTGCCAATTGGCTGTGCAGGAGTGTGTGGTGTAAGCGTGAGTCTATGGTGTGAGTGTGAGTCTATGGTGTAAGTGTGAGTCTATGGTGTAAGCGTGAGTCTATGGTGTGAGTGTGAGTCTATGGTGTGAGTGTGAGGCTATGGTGTAAGTGTGAGTCTATGGTTTAGTGTGAGTCTATGGTGTAAGTGTGAGTCTATAGTGTGAGTGTGAGTCTTTGGTGTGAGTGTGAGTCTATGGTGTGAGTGTGAGTCTATGGTTTTAGTGTGAGTCTATGGTGTGAGTGTGAGTCTTTGGTGTGAGTGTGAGTCTATGGTGTGAGTGTGAGTCTATGGTTTTAGTGTGAGTCTATGGTGTGAGTGTGAGTCTTTGGTGTGAGTGTGCGTCTATGGTGTGTGTGAGGCTATGGTGTGAGTGTGAGTCTATGGTGTGAGTGTGAGTCTTTGGTGTGAGTGTGCGTCTATGGTGTGAGCGTGAGTCTATGGTGTGAGTGTGAGTCTATGGTGTGAGTGTGAGTCTATGGTGTAAGTGTGAGTCTATGGTGTGAGTGTGAGTCTTTGGTTTTAGTGTGAGTCTTTGGTGTGAGTGTGAGTCTATTGTGTAAGTGTGAGTCTTTGGTTTAAGTGTGAGTCTATGGTGTAAGTGTGAGTCTCTGGTGTGAGTGTGAGTCTGTGGTGTGAGTGTGAGCCTATGGTGTGAGTGTGAGTCTTTGGTTTTAGTGTTAGTCTATGGTGTGAGTGTGAGTCTATGGTGTAAATGTGAGTCTATGGTGTGAGTGTGAGTCTTTGGTTTAAGTGTGAGTCTATGGTGTAAGTGTGAGTCTATGGTGTAAGTGTGAGTCTATGGTGTGAGTGTGAGTCTATGGTGTGAGTGTGAGTCTATGGTGTGAGTGTGAGTCTATGGTGTGAGTGTGAGTCTTTGGTGTGAGTGTGCGTCTTTGGTGTGAGTGTGCGTCTATGGTGTGAGTGTGAGGCTATGGTGTAAGTGTGAGTCTATGGTTTAGTGTGAGTCTATGGTGTAAGTGTGAGTCTATAGTGTAAGTGTGCGTCTATGGTGTGAGTGTGAGTCTTTGGTGTGAGTGTGAGTCTATGGTGTGAGTGTGAGTCTATGGTGTGTGTGAGTCTATAGTGTAAGTGTGCGTCTATGGTGGGAGTGTGAGTCTATGGTGTGAGTGTGAGTCTATGGTGTAAGTGTAAGTCTATGGTGTGAGTGTGAGTCTATGGTTTTAGTGTGAGTCTATGGTGTGAGTGTGAGTCTATGGTGTGAGTGTGAGTCTATGGTTTTAGTGTGAGTCTATGGTGTAAGTGTGAGTCTATGGTGTGATTGTGAGTCTATGGTGTGAGTGTGAGTCTATGGTGTAAGTGTGAGCCTATGGTGTGAGTGTGAGTCTTTGGTTTTAGTGTGAGTCTTTGGTGTGAGTGTGAGTCTATTGTGTAAGTGTGAGTCTTTGGTTTTAGTGTGAGTCTATGGTGTAAGTGTGAGTCTATGGTGTGAGTGTGAGTCTGTGGTGTGAGTGTGAGCCTATGGTGTGAGTGTGAGTCTTTGGTTTTAGTGTTAGTCTATGGTGTGAGTGTGAGTCTATGGTGTAAATGTGAGTCTATGGTGTGAGTGTGAGTCTTTGGTTTAAGTGTGAGTCTATGGTGTAAGTGTGAGTCTATGGTGTAAGTGTGAGTCTATGGTGTGAGTGTGAGTCTATGGTGTGAGTGTGAGTCTATGGTGTGAGTGTGAGTCTATGGTGTGAGTGTGAGTCTTTGGTGTGAGTGTGCGTCTATGGTGTGAGTGTGAGTCTATGGTGTGAGTGTGAGTCTTTGGTGTGAGTGTGCGTCTATGGTGTGAGTGTGAGGCTATGGTGTGAGTGTGAGTCTATGGTGTGAGTGTGAGTCTATGGTGTGAGTGTGAGTCTATGGTGTGAGTGTGAGTCTTTGGTGTGAGTGTGAGTCTATGGTGTGAGTGTGAGTCTATGGTTTTAGTGTGAGTCTATGGTGTGAGTGTGAGTCTTTGGTGTGAGTGTGAGTCTATGGTGTGAGTGTGAGTCTATGGTTTTAGTGTGAGTCTATGGTGTGAGTGTGAGTCTTTGGTGTGAGTGTGCGTCTATGGTGTGAGTGTGAGGCTATGGTGTGAGTGTGAGTCTATGGTGTGAGTGTGAGTCTTTGGTGTGAGTGTGCGTCTATGGTGTGAGTGTGAGTCTATGGTGTGAGTGTGAGTCTATGGTGTGAGTGTGAGTCTATGGTGTAAGTGTGAGTCTATGGTGTGAGTGTGAGTCTATGGTGTAAGTGTGAGTCTATGGTGTGAGTGTGAGTCTATGGTGTAAGTGTGAGTCTATGGTGTAAGTGTGAGTCTATGGTGTAAGTGTGAGTCTATGGTGTATGTGTGAGTCTATGGTGTGAGTGTGAGTCTATGGTGTGAGTGTGAGTCTATGGTGTAAGTGTGAGTCTATGGTGTGAGTGTGAGTCTATGGTGTGAGTGTGAGTCTATGGTGTGAGTGTGAGTCTATGGTGTTAGTGTGAGTCTATGGTGTGAGTGTGAGTCTTTGGTGTGAGTGTGCGTCTATGGTGTGAGTGTGAGGCTATGGTGTGAGTGTGAGTCTATGGTGTGAGTGTGAGTCTATGGTGTAAGTGTGAGTCTATGGTGTAAGTGTGAGTCTATGGTGTAAGTGTGAGTCTATGGTGTGAGTGTGAGTCTATGGTGTGAGTGTGAGTCTATGGTGTGAGTGTGTGCCTATGGTGTGAGTGTGAGTCTATGGTGTAAGTGTGAGTCTATGTTGTAAGTGTGAGTCTATGGTGTAAGTGTGAGTCCATGGTTGCGCCGTTCGCTTCATTGATCAGGATGATCGATCACTCGATCGGGTGATCGATCACTTCAATCGATAAATCAACGCCACCCCCACCCATTGATTTCACCAGGCGAGAACACCCTCAAGGTAATTGCCTTCACTCGCAGATGCGACCTGCGAGGCATTGAGTTAAGCAAAGGCAGTTTGTTGATGTCGCTGTTATTAAATTCCTCGCAGACTTTTATTCAACGGTGGGTTGCACAAAGGTTCTGGTCGCGTGATCACAGTGGACGTCAAGGTGCCGTAAAGTTGCACGAGGTTCATCTTCTTGGTTCTTTCGGTAAAGTCACGTAGAAGGGAAGTAATAAAATAATAAAAATAAAACATAATATAATAATTCTCACGACGTTTCGGCCACAACGCAAGCAGCCGTCCTCAGGTGAAGAACAGGTCTGTCGGAAAGACAGCGTCTGAATAAACACCACCAGGCTTGGCAGCGTATATTTAAGCTGGAGGGGGAAGGGCGCCTTGACAAAGAAATTTGCATATCAAGAGGAATTTAGCATATTTATGGAATGCGTAGGAGGTGGGCGGGGGTTTCAAAGTCATAATATGCCCGTGCATTATGCAGGATTAGCAGCAACAAAGGGAGGGAGTAAGGTTAGCATTAATAAAGGGAAGGAATGTTAATAGCATGGAGCTGCAGCAACTCAACCACCACGTAAATGTAGGCGGGCCTATGAATCAAAGCTGCTAACCGTCTGCACGCTTGCCGTGTGAATCCGGGGGTAACAAGTGTTGCAATGCATGGATGAGAAGAGTTTAACATGTAGGCTGATGAGTTAATGATGACGTCACCCTGCTGCTGCTGCTCTATATAAGAACGGGAGAGAGAGCAGAGCCTCTCACCATTCTGGCGAATTGCCCGATGATGCTGGATGCAATTACCAGCAAAACGTCGTACTACTCAAAAATTGTAAATGTTGTGGCTTCACGCTTCAACACACCGGTGGGGCTAAAGCAGTGAACTATTTGTCTTTTGTCAACGTGACACTTTTTTTACTGATTGGCCGTGTCGGGTGGTGGAGGGTTACGACACATTTATAAATAACGCGATCTCAACCCAAAAACGTTGATTATGAATGAGAAGAGTTCATTCATCATTTGACTTTCAGTAATGGCACACGCATTTTTCCCAATTCTTGGCATCTTCATTAACGTTAATCGCACGTTATTTAATTCATTGATTTGTTTTTCTTCGGCGAATCGCACTGCACAGCCTCAAGTGTCACCACGAAGATGCTTTTCCGCTCAGATCTTGCCATTTTCACGCTGTAGAACAAATTCCGAAACACACGTTATCTGTGTTGACGAGCCCGTGGAAGTGTGTGTGTGTGCACGTGCGAGG